GTCTGTCTGTCTGTCTGTCTGTCTGTCTGTCTGTCTGTCTGTCTGTCTGTCTGTCTGTCTGTCTGTCTGTCTGTCTGTCTATTTTAAACTCTCACTCACACGCCGCCCCCCCGACAGACACACACACACACACACACACACACACACACACACACACACACACACGAACGCGCACATACACACACACACTAATTACGCGCTCTCCCTTTTCCATTCATAAGGTACAGTGGCATTGATTTGTTTGGGGAGACAGCACGTGGTGTAATGTCAAGGCCTTTGACAGTACGAGAAAAAAGAAAGACCAAGGAACAAACCTGTAGGTTCAGACTATTTTGTAATGGAGTTCAGAAACACGGTACATGAAAATGAGGTTCTGGCGTACGTTGCATGTGAAGTACAGAGATACGAATATCAAATGAATTCCTGTAAAGGTTAATATCGAACGAAGTTCAGAGGCACAGAACACTGAACTCCAATGAAAAGACATACCTGTATACGTTAGAGCTATAAAACGGAGACTGATCTTTTTCTGTTCCTAAAATATCACATCCGTGAAATTTATTGCCGTAAGATTCTGGAAAGACCGTCTACGTGGGCGATTATTTTGACACGGTTGTAGGTTCAATGTTCAAATATTCCAAACACCTGCAACAGAAATATATACGTTACCATCTTTATTCCTGTCGTTTAAGTTTTTGAATCCCCTCACTATTTCAACGAATAATATTATAGTGTAAAGCGCATAGAGCCTGCTGCTGAGCGGGGATATGCGCTATACAAATGCTATCTATTATTATTATTATTATTATTATTATTATTATTAATATGTAATCGTTTTTTTTTATCTTTCTGATATCCCGACTTTTCTGATTCCCTGCTGAGTGAACCGTTACTGAGCTGTATATCCCAAGCTATGATAACTGAGGCTTTCTGTACTAAGCAATAGTAACTGAACTGTATATCCCAAGCTATGATAACTGAGGCTTTCTGTACTAAGCAATAGTAACTGAACTGTGAGAGCTAAACGTAAAAACCCAGCCCAGCTGAGTGAGCGGTACTAAAATTTATAACAACTGTTTACTCCAGATGACAGAGCAGTGTCTCTGATTGTGTCCGGCTTTGTATAATAATGACGCACTAATCACTTGCATCGTTTCCTTTGGAAGTCTTTCTCTGTCGTTCTGTCTGGACCTCGGGTTGTAACCAGCATGTTGCAAAAAGCATTTGCCAGTAACAAAGAGACTAACAAAGCTTTCTTGAAAGTGCAAATACTCCTTGAGATGTTGCTCTGCCTGAAATTCAAAGATTTGTTTGGCAAAGGCAGTCCTCTACTCTCCCTCATTCTGTCCCCTAGGACTCGTTTGTCTCGCCTTTTTATTCGTCCTCTTTCAGCCTCTTCTCCCATTGCATTTTTCTCAGACACTTTTTTGGCAGTATCCCCCTCCCCCCCCCCCCCCCAAAAAAAAAAAATCCTAAATTGTTGGCTTAAAAAGAAAGTGCCACAAAGGCCATTGACCTAAATGTCCCGAAAGCTCCTTCTTTATCGGAATTCGTTACATAGACATGAAAGCCAAACAAGCAATTAATCTACAGAAGAAACAATAGCTTACGTTCTTGGGGTACAAAAACCCAACGGAAAAGAAATTTGAAAAAAAGAATAAGCGAAAAACCAGACTATTCGAAAGCTTGATAATGGTAACCAAGACGTCAGGAGTACGACGAGGCTGAAAAGTAGAAATGTCCTTGAAAGCAAAAACTGTTGTGTCAGGTAGCAGCGATATTGTTTTTCTTTACACCGTTGCGCTGACTTAGCATCTTCGGAAGGAGCTGGTAAGATACAACCGTGTGTTTTCCCGGATTTGCGTCACCAGCCTGAAGGTAACACCCAATTATTGTTTCTTTTTTTTTCCCTCTCAGCGGGTCTGGCGGAGTCCCTCCCCCCCACCCCCC